TTTCTGCCTGTTAAAAGGCAGTTTTTCCTTGCCCCCGTCGCCAAGTTCTTGCTCATGGTGGTACTGTTGGGTCTCTGTAAATGTTAAAAGGAGTTCGGTCTAGACCTGCTCTATTTGAAAAGTGTCCTGCGAAAACTTCTGTTATGAATTGGTGCTATACAAATAGAATTGAATTGAACTGAATTATACACACACAGTGTGCTCCTGAGCTGACCAAGACCCAGACAACAGGGATTGATGTTGTGGATTAGAAAGTGCTGTAATCCGTGACCCAGCCGGTAGCACTGCTCCTTGTCTACCAGAGCACAGTGGACTTCTCCAAGCCATGGGTTTACCGTGTGTGCATGCATGAATGACAGAGAGAAAGAGGGAGGGAGGGAGAGATAATGAGCTAGACACAAACTCTGAGTAATATGACACGTGTCTCGGGGCTAAGAGTAAGAGGCAGGTTTACACTGCAGGGATGAGCCCACTATATATAGAGCAGAGCACAAGGTTGGCAGGCACAACGACAGTCATACAGTCAGCCAACTCACTTACAGGCAGCACAAGGAACTCACCGCTGGTAAGTCTTTTTTTAAATTATTTTTAAAAATTATTTTCAGGAAGAGCTGTTCATAAGGCAGGAATAGACTCGTTAGGCCAGTGAAATATTGGTGAATCAATTAAGCACACCTGTAGCTAAATAATAGCGCTAAAGCTCGGTGAAAAAGCTATTAGATTTAAGCTGCTATGTCTAGTGTTCAATGGCCACAGTGTGTGTGTAAATGAATGAGTTTCATTGCAGCTATTGTGCTATAGCTAATTTGGACTGTTTACAACTTGTGTTATATTTCTGTAGTTCTATCATTCCTGGTGAATTTCTGAAAGTAAAACTCCCATTTATATTTTGAATGGAGGATTTTGATTAATAGCCATAATGTTATAACCATATAAATATAAAAGATATACAAAAGATCGACATTGCGTCTTCACTATCTTTCACTGTACAAAAATGAAACCAAAATATGCGGAATACAGCTGTTGCCATCTTGTGCTGGTGACTGTGCAGTAGTGATCGGAGTTGGCGCCACAGTATTGAAGTCCGGCCCATACAACTGGGATGATACTTAAATATACATTAGCATGATAACAGCAACCTAAAATGCCAGAAACCATTTTTGGGAAAAATGTACTTCACGTGTATTTAGGTTTTTTTAGTTTGGCCCATCTGCTAACATGCAGACAGTAGGCTATATGACCTATACTGCAACCAACCACCAGAGGGCGATTGAGATGTTTTGGCTTTACTTTTGGAAAGCTGTCAAGTCGTCCATCTTTATGTCATAACCATCCAAGCTAGCCATACCACGAGCAATGACATTGTGAAATGATGACATATATTTTAATGTAGAAGGCACAAGTCCATATGATATCAACATTGTTTTAAAAAAAAAATGTTTATCACACCAGCAAATGTGAACCTGTGAATGGATATAAGGGTTAGGGTTAGGGTTAAATAAAAAATAATAATTTAGAGAATCACTACAAGTCAGTATTTTTCAGGGCCAGTATGAATGACAAGGGCTTTTCAGGTCAGCTAGTTAGGTAGCTATCATTAGCTCACACTAATCATGTTTTTACATCACATATACACGCACACAACACAAACTAACATAACAATTGTATACTATTACAAAACCACCACTTAAAACAACCAATCAGAGCCAAGAAAGACAGTTTCTTTTTCCAGGGTGTCAAATACAGATGCTTTGACACCCTGGGAATGAGACTCAACGATCAACTGTCTTCAAGCTTTCAATCCAAAGTGTCTTGATATCTTTCTCAGCTTTGCATTACATTAACTCCAAAAGCACCAGGTTCAGAGTTATTTGCTCCGAGGATTAGCACATCTTGTTTGTCACTTTTTTCATCCCACTTTTATGATTTTTTTCTTAACTCCACCCCCACCCCAGTATCCACCCCAGTACATGAATAATTTTCAGAGCGAAAATTATATTGTGCAGGCATAGTAAAGGCATATTCCAAAGTAATAATTATTGCCAAAACCTAACCCTAACCGTACCCCTAACCCAAATGGCCAGTGTATATCTGTTAGTCTTAGTGAAGTTAGATTGATTGTCTGTTTGTGTTGTTTCAGGACTTGTATGAATACCGGTAAGCAGCAGAAGCCAGTGCTCACAGGCCAGAGGTTTAAGACCAGGAAAAGGGGTGAGTACAAATGAAGCTTTTAGGTATATTTTAGGTACATTCGGATACTAAACCGCAATGAGAAGATTTAATTTTCCAAAGTTATTTGATGCAAGTCACACAGTGAACAACTGTTTCTGTCTCTGTAAATAATTTTTTTAAGGAGTACAGTCTAGACCTATTCTATTTGAAAAGTGTCTTTTGTTATGAATTGGCGCTATACAAATAAAACTGAATTGAATTGAACACACTCATATTCAGCAATGCACACACTCCACCACTGCCTCCCATCGGCCAAGCTGGTGTGCAGTCCTCTACGGTGTTAACGAGTTGTTTTTGTCGGGCAGTGTTTCACTGACTAGCTATTACACACACCCTTTGAGATCTCCTTTTCACACACATGCACAAAAACTGTGTAGACATGTCCTCATAAAATGTCACAGCCACTTGATACCTGGTGGATTAGAAGTATATCCACTGTTTCAGAGTCAGAACATAATCAAACTAGTTTCCATGCTTACCAAACTAAACCAACTTTTTTTGCCCACGGTCACTGCTGGAGTCTGCCCCATTATGTACTGGGTTACAGGCAAGAAAACCCCTTTCAAAGCTCCACATTCAATTCCAAGAGTTAAACCAGACAAAGTGACATGGAAATCAACTGCAAGTAGAGCAGGTCTAGCCCGTACTCCTTATAAATGTATTTACAGAGACTTAACAATTCTTTTGTTGTTATGGTCACCATCTAAACAGTAGAAATACTTTCACATTACAAAGTAGTCTACCAGTATGTGCACTTTTATGTATTTGGTGGCCAAGATTTTTTGTTCAGCTTTTTGCCACTTGACCAACCAAATGTATCCCGGTTAAAGCTCTTAGCATTTGAACCTCCACTGTGTCAGTGGCCCCATTTAAATCATCCAAATGATATCGGACCAAATGGATCAAATTTCACGTCTGCAAAAACAGAAAAAAGAAAATGTATCCACCGCTTTACAGACTGGAAAAAAATATTTTTGCACCAGTGTGCATCAGTAATTCCTTACAGGACACTAATTGGTCCAGTACTGCTGTACTTTTACCACAAACGCATAGTCTTAGGCCTGGCAAGGTGCATTCTTGCGTGATCTCATAATTTCATGATCTTGCTCTAGCTGTCTCGCAAGATTAGGTAACCATATCTCCTCTATCATCCACATCTTGTGGAGTACCCAAAGGGTCCATCCTCAGGCCTTTATTGTTTTCTATTTATATGTTACCTTTGCGTGACATAATAGGCTGTCACAGTATCTCTTACCATTTTTATGCAGATTATACGTAGTTGTACATTTATTTTAATCCTAATGATTTTAACAAACTATTGATTCATTTGAAATCTCATCTGAACGATCTGCATTTATATTGTTGTCAGAGTTAAGTTGCCACTATATGCTGTTAAAACAGACTGTCGTGTAGGTGAAATAGCTTCGGAAAACAATATCTCATCTCCCACGACCAGCTTTTCACACCATCTTTGAGTGTGGCTCTTCAGACCAACTCTTAAAAACTGGTTTTGTTCAAGCATAACCCGACGATTATACTGTTGAAAATGAACTGCAGTCTGAAATGAATGAAAACCAATGGTAGCCTTGACGGAAGGAGAACAACTTGAATCTGAAATACTATGGATTTTGGAAAATATGAGCATTTATTATAAGACACCGATTGGCACTGATCATGTGATTCTCTGTCCTAGATGAAAAGGAGAAGTTTGAACCAACTGTTTTTCGAGACACGATTGTTTTGGGCCTCAATGAAGCAGGCGGTGACCTGGATGCTGTAGCTAAGTTTCTAGATGTCACAGGGTCGCGACTAGACTACAGACGCTATGCTGACACTCTGTTCGACATCCTCATCGCAGGGAGCATGCTTGGTGAGTGTCACTGTGTTTGTTTAGACTGGCTGAGATAACTACTAGTGGCTCTTATCTCTGGATGACTGCATGTGTTGTTGTGTTGGGACAGTACTTTCCTTGAAAGCTACAGTAGTATTTTTAGTATTAATAGTATTTTTTTGTCATATGTGCTGAAAGCTGAATTAAAGATAATTTGCGCCCCTGGGAATGAGATTCAACAATCAACACTAATTTGTATTACAACATACATTAATATTACTATAACGTCTTTCAATTAAGGGAGATGGTTAGAAAGATTAAGGGTTGCATAATCAATTATTTCACAAGAATCCAAGACATCCAATTTTGTGATAATATAAGCATAACAATATCAGCAATAACAATCTGCATTGAATATCAGTACAGGCTGATACAAACCAATATAAGTATGGAAGCAAGGACGAAATTTTGATTTCAGAGGTGGGGGGGACACAAGTATTTTTTTATTTTTTTTAATATATTTTTTTGGCCTTTTATTGCCTTTATTGATAGTAACAGGTTTAGATAGACAGGAAAGGGGGGTTATAGTTTTCTATTGCTACTTTTGCTTTTATAGTTACTGTTCCCTTTTTATTTGGTTTTGAACTGGTTGTAAAGCATGTAGCAAACATTATCACCCAATTCTTGTTTCAAACCCTTGTTAGTCAACTTCAACCGTTCCCAACTTCAGTACACCAATTTTCAACCCTTCATTTTTGGAATATATGTTTTTTTTTTTTTTAAAACAGTTGCTGCCTTTCAACCCCATAAACCATAATCCCACATGCAAAATAAGTGCTAAATCTCTTTGGCATTAAATATAACGTTTTTTTAAAACTCCTTTGCTTTGTTGAAGGCTCTAACCAGTATCGGCTGTTTATAATAAATACAGTAAAAATAATAAAGAAACTAAGCAATAAATCGAACAACCTAATGATAATAAATTGTTCCTTTATCAGCACTTTCAATATAAAGGCTCAAGACAGCTTTAAAGATTATTGAGAAGGCCCTTATTGAGGAAGGTCCCTAGTGGGCTTGAGCGGGTCTCTCGTTTACTTATACGCCTCAACATTTTTTTTGGATGGCTAACGGACAACTGCAGGGGGAGGCCAAAAACAGCGCCTTTTGAACAAAAGTGCAGGGGGTTACATGTACCACTGTCCGCCTGTGACCACCCCGCGCAAACAATACATTCTGTATGAAAGACATACATTTCTCCAAAGGAAGTACATTTGCATTTAGAAACTTCGTCTTTGAATTAGCAATTACCTTTTGGAGAGTGTTCTTGGCATTATCGCTGAA